CTCTTCCTCCTCTTGAAGACGGAACATCCATGCCCTGGTCATCAAGTATACGACTTTGGGAGTCGCGAGCATCATTTGAATCGTCCCATCAGAGAGTGGAAGCCGGGCAATGAAAGAGATAAACGAGAGGCAGATCCCGCCCTCGAGACCATTATCTTCTTCTATAAAGACGAGATCGCAATGAATTTGGAAGAAATGCACCCATTTCCAGAGACTGGGCCACATCTCGAGGAATGCTTCCATAGGAACGTCGCCCAAGGTGTAGATTGATAGCAGAGACTCCCAGGCGCGGCTCACAGCGTTGTTCCCAGCTGCGAAGCTGGACGCCGGTGAGTTCAAGGAAGGGATTCCTTTTGGGTCAAGATGAATGTAGAACACGGCAAGAAGTGCCTTGAAGTGTTCGCCCGATCCATCCGCGACCATGGCGCGAAGGTGCTCGAGGTCTTCGAGCGAGCCACGGGCTGCAGAGGTAGCCGTTCTCTTCATTCAGGAAGTATCAGAAGTGGATCAAAGGATAACATAAACCGAATCTACCCGAATGAATCCTGGCAAGACAGACAATCCTGCCAGGCGGAGATTTGGATGCATTGATGTGGGAAAAGGATTTCAGCCTGGTAATATCCCTCCAGTTGACGCCAGCTCTGAGTGGAGACTATCAAGGATGGATTAAAGCGCCAGAATTTCAGCAGGACGCTCAGTAGCGCCGAGTTCTCTGAGGCTGCTTTCTGGTCGGTGACGGGAAAAGAACAAGCCTCACGCCAACAAGGAATCACAGAAGCAAATAATGAACAAATAGTACGTATGCCATGCCGAGGAAGCCGGTTATTTCTGATCTTTACCTAGATTCACCTCTGAGCGCACTTCAGCGACTTGACAGTTCATTATTCAATACTAACCGCGTCTTCCATTTTTTTTCTAATTTATTTTGTTGGCGGTTGCCGCTTCTTCGTTCATTTTTGCTGTTGGTTCAGTTGATCGGAGAGGCTTTGAAAGAATCGAAACGAGGAAGACGTCGACGGGCTAGTTATTTCTGCCTCGTCACCATGCGTCCAGATATACTCATGATCAACTTACGGGGTTCGACCTCGTTTTGGCTACCCCCTGTATGACGGGCGACTCAAAGCGCCTACTCTGAGAAGTTTCAGTATATCACGCTGACGCCTGCAAACCGCGCCCTGACTGTGCACGGAAAAGGGAAGTATCGGAGCTGATCATCATGCTGAAGTGAACAAAAGCAAAGTGGATGCTATCCAAAAATCGACTGAAAATCTAGAACAAAATCATACCACGATGGGCTCGATTCCAGCCCAACTCGATGACTTTTCTGTGGATCAAATCTCCGGGTAAGCCAAGGAATTAAAACAGATTCTCCAGTTGCCCACCAGAAATCAATCGGTCAGTAGTACCAAACTGCGCTCCTCTGCGCGAGCCTCAGCAAGCGCTGGTAGGACCTGTCGGACGACCATCCAACGTGCATGGTAAGTGTACTCCTCCCCGCCATCGTCCTCTTCATGATCAACCACTTCGTCTCCCACATTGCTCTGAATAGAGACGAGGTTTGGAAAGATTCCGGATAGAAACCGGGCCACCGAGGCGGCGTTCTCGATAGGCGAGAATCCAACAGACCAACGCGTGAGGTTCCGTTGGACAATCCGCGTCGCAGGACTGGTATGTGGCGCCGGAACCTCCAAAGCATGCACAGGTATTTCTACCCATTGGAGGTCTGGACAGTGCTCTGCGAAAGCCCGAAGGCCCTCCAGGGTTACGCGGGGGAAAATGTCGGTGTCGAAACCGAAGAATGTCAGGTGTGTCATCTGAGGCCATGCCCGTGCCATGTCCGTCACGAGAGCATCGTCTAGGTCGAAGCCTCTACCGGCGTGAAGCCATAGTGTCTTGAGAGCAGTCAAAGACAGAAGGGGTTCGAGGACGGTGCCGGGTACCCCGTCGGTCAGTTGTTCGGCTCCGATTTGTAGCTGATGCAGGGGAGAATGTAAGAAGCTGTCAGAGACGATGGTATACACGGTTAAAAGGTCTGCATTTGAAATCGAGCCGGTGAGAGTGATATGCAATTCGGTCAGAGGACTATATGCCACGGCTTCCGTAAAGGCAGTTGCCACATCTACCGATGTCGTCGAAACGTTGAGCGAAGTGAGGTAGAGGAAAAGAGGAGTATTGGTGAGCTGGGGAGAAAGTGAGAAGGAGCCCATGTCAGAGACAGTCAGATCGATCAACGTTGGAAGACACGCAAGGTGCTCGATAGCTGGCTGGTCCAGATCGACCACACGCACGGTTTGCACGTGCTCGAGCCCTCGAAGAAACTGAGATGTGCTTTCCCGCAGCTTTGAATGGGGAACTGGAAAAGAGACGATGGAGGGAGCGGATGGAATGCATGCAACGATCAGCCCTGGGAATTTGCGTGCTAGAGTCGGGATGAGAGAGAAATAGGGGATTGATGCCGAGTCGCAGCAGAAACCGATCTCAAGGCTGGTAATTCGGGGGCCAAGGACGAGGCGTATCAAAGGAAAGCGGGACCTCAAGTCGTCCCAATGGAGGGTATCGATATTGGGGAACAAGTGGTCCGTCGGAAGGCACAAGCCCAGCGTGTCGACCAGCTGCGCAGATGGAGTTCCTGTTGCCGTGCAATGCAGCATTCTGATTCTGGGAAGGTAAAACAATGCTCGATCCCAGTCGGCGAGTTCAAGGGGACGTTTAACATTCTGATAACCGTAAGCCAGCTTACAAGCTCGGAGTGCATTAACGTACGAGACCGTCAACCGATTCATTGATGATTGGTCGATTCCACAAATCCCGTGGCATACACCGGAAAATGTGTGCGAATGTGTTTTAAAACCTCCATAGCGCGTCAAGGGCAGGTTCCCGGAAGACCTTGCATGTTCTGGCGAGAGCAGCGAGATCGCCGGTCATTTCAGGAGTAGGAGGCTCGAACTCGCTTCCGGGGGCGTGCGAGTCATGCTTCGGACAAATTTGAGAGCATACTATATCCAGGATCTCGGGGATTCTGAGGCTGCGATGCATTTTGGTGGAGAGAAGATGAAGGGAAGAAAAAAGGAGGAAAAGGCGGTGCTGTTGTGATTGTCCCGATTGACGTGTGCTTGGCCGTGTCGATCGAAAGCTTCAAGCAAAGCAAGAAACTCGTAGGTCATCTGCAATTCGCAACCCACCGACAAGCCACTACTGAGACTCGGCAATTAGATTGCGAAGACAACGAAATTAGTTGTTGGCGGAAATAGGACAGGTCAACTCATCAAATTGAACCACTAGCAACAGTGAACGTTCGGATCCGCTGCCACGAGAGAAAGGCGGTCCACAGGCAGTCTCTTCCAAACGAAAAGCGAGCGAAAAAATATCGAGACAATCCAGCGGTCAGAAACAGATCCAAGAAGGCTTGCAACGATTCGAAAGAGACCCGCTGATCAGAACATCCGGTTCAACATCAGAAAATAATAATTGCGCGAAACTAAAAGCTGGTATCCTAGCATTTACCCGCCGGCGCAACATGCGGGGCAAGTTGTTATGTCCGTACAAGCTACTCACCGCGGGGCAGCTTGGGAACGCGGCACAGCAGCTGCCCGTTCTGGCAGCTTCCAAAAAAGTTAGTTCACACAATTTTCCTAGTCCGATGTAGGCAGATAACTCACACGTTGCCCAGGTTTGTGGCGCAGCAAAGATCTCCCGAGGGGCCTGTAAATAATGAACACACTTAGCAGATAGCTCCAAGTTGAAATATGGGGATTCATACATGGAGGATCCTAAATCGATGGTGTCCCGATGATGAATGACTGTACATCACCGGAAGGAAGGTACATACATAGGGAGAGCCACCTACACAATTTAATCAGCAATGGTGTCAACGATTCGAACTGAAAGGAAAGCTCACATGGGCGGGGCAGCTGGACGGGCCCAGGGCCCATGCTGGGCGCAATGGTAAGGGAGCTGACGCCCAGTGCGAGGGCGAGCATGACAATGGAACCTCCGATGAGCTTGCTGAACATTATGGGCAGCGGATGGATGTCTGTGCTGAAATGTGGGCTTTTTATAGTTCTGCCCGTATATTTATAGCCGGACAGAAATCTACTCGTTCCTGGTCCAACTGGTCATGAGCGGCAGAGATCCCGCTATAAAACTGACGGATAGGCACGGTGACCGATACCTCGGGCTCCGTTATTTAACTCGCGCCGCGCATTACATTTCGGCAGCCAGGAAAGCGGAATAATATTTCCTTAAATATATTCTGCGGGTTCAGAATGCCAGGGATTAGATTGGTACCGGACTTTCAATTGGTCTAAATATACTTGAAACTGTGGCGGGCCACACCCGGGGCTCCGGGAAAATGCCGCCGTGCCGGATTCAACGCCGTGTCACTGTCGCGGTACGAATCGGTCCTGCGTCCTGCTCGAGGCTCCCAAAGAAAGAGGTTCCCAGTCTGTTGAATTTTCGAAGCATGGTAGAAAAGTGGAGCCTGGTAGTTTATTATTCCGAGAAGAGCATACATATTCGATTCCTGTTCAACCCAATTATGGGATCCTGGTAAACATCTACTGACATCCAAAGCATTCGAAACACCCATTCTGACATTGAGATATTTCCTTGGAGGTCCGGAGCAATATTTTCAAGTTTATGTTGGCCCTGTTGATGCACCGACTGTGTCACTGAACTGAATTGATGCCTGTATATGTTCCCCGTCATTCAACGGGTATAGCAACAATATAACTGGGCAGCCAGACTCGAAGCGCAAGGCAGGATGTGGTCCGGAACCAACCAAATTGAACACCGGTGATTCAGGGTTCTCGGGTATCTCTGCAGGTTTATAATTGCACAAGTTGGCGACATTGGTATTCTGCTCCTTTATCTTGAGTATCTATGCCGTTGCGCTGGCCTGGAGATCGTCGGCCGCCCATGTTCAAAAGTTTTGAAGTGCATGGCATTCTAGGAGCTCGTCGGCATGCACTATGATGTTAGGTTGGGGAGAGTCTCCAATTCCGACTTGAGCTCAGTTGGAAGAGCATCAGACTGTAATTGTAAACCTTGCCGTTGGCTATCTGAGGGTCCCCTGCTCGTACCAGGGAAGTCGGATTATTCCGGGGCCGTGGTATGTTTTACTATGTGCATGGCTGCGATTCTCTGCTTTTTGTTTTCCGCCGCGGTTCGACTCCCCGAACGACATTTTCTTTCCGGTAATCTCCTGGGCCCCTACCGTTCTGGATGGTGTCCGTGCGAAGTTGAGCCTCAGATGTCACTGTAGAATTATGTTTGAAACAACCGTGTTGGGTGAACAAGAAAGCATCATGTCACTCGGGCAATGCATGTTTTCCAGTCGGGCGATAGATAGGCATCATCAGTACTGGATTCTACTGGTTTTTCCTTTGTTTGTCAATGGGAATGCACCGTTTATCCAACATCTGTCGAGAACCCAGGTGAGGCGGGTGAGGCGGGCCGGTTCGGCATCGTTCGGGTGCCGACTTCCGAAAATACACGTCACTGTCATTGACTTGTCTTCTTCCTTCAGCTTCTCCAAACTGTTTCTATCCTAACAGAAAGAAACCCTTGTAATGGTTCTAGACCCCGCAAGCTCACACGGGTCTGAAGAAGATGCAGAAGGCGCAGAGGCCGAATCGTGTGTACATTCGCGTCGACATCGTCCGGGCCATTCTGACCGATTGCGGATAATACACATTTCTAGGAGCGCTACGATGGCGGGGAATCGTCGTCTACATGAAATGGCTTCTCTGGAGACCGAAATCGAGTGGCACTACGCCCAAATAGCCCTACTCAAAGCCAAACGCAATTCGCTCGCACCGATCTGCAGCCTCCCCAATGAGCTCCTCTGCCGAATATTCATCATCTACGCGGTTGAATCGGACACTCTCTTCAACTTGAAATGGACACAAATCATGTATGTTTGTCATCGCTGGCACGACCTCGCGATGGCGACGCAGCCACTGTGGGCGGCTGTTCAGATTGGCTGGCAGAAACGCAGGATCCCGCGTTTGTTCGAGCAGCTGACGCGTTCTGGTGCCGCTCCGCTCACTTTCAAGATCAATCCATATGAGGGGTATCACACGCACTCAATCTTGGCAAATTCTGGACGCGTCCGCTCTCTCGAGCTCCGTGGAGAGGCGAAAAAGATTTACCAGCTGATTCGTAGCCTTCCGGAGTGTGACTTCCCCATCCTCTCTTCCATCGATTTCGATCCCACTTACAAGCGGGATGAGCTACCGGAAGGTTTCGTGGAGGCTCTTCCGGACGAAATATTTGACAGAAGGATGCCTCAACTACGTGAATTGGTCTTGCACTCAATCGCTCTCCCATGGAGGTCCCTTCGGGGTATAACGACTCTGTGTCTCACAGACTGTGGCGACACCGGATCTTCCCCTCACACGTTTGACGCCTTGCTGGTGATGCTCGCGGCCTGTCCGGAACTACACACATTGAAACTCGAGGAGACTATTCCACCACCCATTCCCGACCGACGCTACCCTGTGGTGCATCTGTCAGCGCTAGCCTGGATACGTCTACGCGACGACGCCACCACCTGCGCCGTCGCACTGAATCATCTCTCCTTGCCGCCAACCGCATCAGTCCACATCTTCCCTTACGGTGTACGCGCCGGCCCCGACATCCCCGAGCTCCTCATCCCAATCCGCAAACACCTCCGTGCACCTGGCCTACCCACGCCGCGTCTGGTGCACATCGAGGGTGCCGTCCGCCCCGAAAGTTCACACTATAGCACCTCGCTATTCTGCGACACCGCCTCCCCCGACCCTCTCGACACCTCCGACGCGCGCTGCCCCTTTCACCTCAACTCCCACCCGGCGAACGAGGGCGAGCTGCGGCGCATTATGACTAAAATCTTCAAGGCCCTCCCGTTCGAATCTATCACGCATTTGGACGTGCGGATAATGACGATGACCGCCCCCACGTGGAAGGTCGCGCTGAAGCTGCTTCCAGCGCTTCAGGCGATCTACATGACACAGCTGGACGACGCCTCCGTGAACTTCTTCGGTGCACTTAGCCAGATCGAGCAGATGGACAGGGCGCATCGGACCTTTCCCCGTATTCAACGACTCCATATTCGAGTACTCTCGCGCGCTCGTTTGCGGGCGTTTCAAGGAGAGCCGGAGGAAGCTGAAGACTTCGATGCCCTGCTCTTGACCCCACTGCGGAAGTATCTACGCGCGCTGTTCGATAATGGGAATGTGCTGCAGGTATTGAAGCTCGAGGATCGGGAGCGCTGTTTGACTGAGCACGAGCGCGAGATGGACGAGCTATTTCCTTTGATTGGGGACCGTATGGTGTGGAACAGCGTGGTATATGACCCCGCTAAACGGAAAGCGGACCGGGAAGCATGGGAGGTGGAGCGTCGGCAGTTGGAAATCGACTTGGTGGACCCCTGAACCTCAGCGTTCAAATTCAACGCAAGGTACTGTATAATTTCGCGCATCAGCGGAATTTTCGTGTGGCGACGTCGAAATTCCACTTCGATGACGCTCACAGGGAATCATAATGCAATCTCTTACAACTGTCTCTCAGTCTTCGCTCAAACCGAGTGGACCTGGTACGGAGATGATCACAATCAGACTAAACTAGTGAGGATAAGAATCTAACCAGGAAGCACTACTTGTGTATGGAACACACGCCACTCTCCTCGAAAACGTCCCTGGTGCCGCAGCGAGACGGGGTTCGATTCCCAACGGTACATATTTCGGCGCAATGTCGTTGTTTTCCCCCTTGAAATGACTAGAAGGAACACAAACAGATCAGGAAATGGCCATGAGGGGCGTATATTTCGCAACAGGTACCTGGTCAGACCATTATGGGAGGTTCCGTACGTTCTTTAGAGGGACCACCGCGGTACAAATAGTCTTTCCTTCCTTCCCCTTGACCCCTCACAGTTGAAACCAGACGACGTGAACCGAGCAAAGATTTGGAGACGAGCACAACCAGAAAGCACCTTTGTACTGACCTCAGATCTAGTCGGCATCCGAACCTTGCTCTAGTCCGAAATGAAATGTATCCGAAGTGGAATACTTACGTGCATTACGGGATCACGAAGCTGTGGAGGGAATGTACGCAAATCGTCAGAAGTCTTTGACGAAGACGGTCACCGGTGGAAAACAAACCGGCGCCGGGTGGGCTTTAAGCCGTTTATCCTTGGTCGGGAGATCCCCAGAGAAGCAATAGTGAACCCCATGAAAGTCTAGGTAGATGACATGGCGATTCATACGAAATGGTTGCGCCAGATGGTAATTTTAACACAGTACAAGAAACGCCTTCGTTACGCTCTGGCACTGTTTTCAGACCAGATCAAACTTTTGGAGATGAATTTTGTCTGCATTATGAGCTCATTTAATACACACATATGATACATTGCGGGTCCGGACATCGGAGGCACATAATTCGAGAGGCGCCGAGCGAGAGGAGACCGAGAGAACAGGGGCTTCCAAATGTGAAATTTATGTCGAAAGTAGAATTTTTGAAGGTCGCAGTGTGGAAACCCCAATGCCAGAGGGAGAGTTTGGTTCTGGTCTTCCTGCACTGACTCTTTGATAACAGTTGAGGGTTTGAGGTAAAGTTGCCGCCGATACTAACAGTAAATTGCGGCGCCTAAGTTCGGATCACAAATTGCAGCAGAACAGGTGTCAGGATGAGAGGGAGGAACCTACAGAAGGGACAAATAATTGCTCCCCTTTATCTTTGGTGAACGCGCCCAACAACAGCTGCGGTCTGCTGCGGCAGACTGCGGTGCTGTTGAGCTGAAGCACGAGTTGGCATGTCAGTTGTCAACAGCGCAGCTTAAGCTGTTGAAACCTACAGCTTTTCAGCCAAGAAGATTTTCAGCTGGAGCAAATCCTCAGCCTGGAAGATGAAGGGGAGAGCAAAGTGGATGTGGTTAGCCGTAGTTAACAGCTTTTATCATCCACGGGACGCCAAATTGCTGTGAAATTCCACAGCAGAGACGCCGAGAAATGGGAGTGCGGCGAAAGTGTCTATCAGCAGCTGCGATCTGCTGGGAACTTGACAAAAAGCGGAACTGCAGCTGTTGAAATTTAGTACACGATTCTACAGCTTTCCGCTGCCAAGAAAATTTGCAACCACGGGACGAGAAATGCTGTTAAATCCCACAGCAGAGAAACACTGCGACTGGTTGAAAAAAGCTGAATGGAGATATCACCCTCTTGGCGTGCTTGGAAACCTTGCCATTTGCTTAAAGATACGAGTAATGGAATAACTAGTCTTTGAGATCGAAGAGTCCCATCGGCAAGAAAAAATATAGGTAGGCATGTTGTTCCTGTCCAATTCAAGTGGTGTGGGCTACAACTTGGTAATTGGCAGCGTCAACTTGGCAATCCATACAAGATTCGCCCCTTAAAACTGCCGTCTGTCCGCCTCGTCAGTATCTCACTGACACATCGGACTCTGGCATATGTACCCCGGACGCAAACAAATCTTCCTCTCTCCGCAATTCCCACACTCCCTCGGTTCCTTCTCCCAATCACCCGCCGGGGTCTCGTGAAGTTCTGCATCATACTCATCCGGATGATTGTCGCCTCTGTACAGTTGGCCTGTTCGCCCGCTATAATGGTACCATTCCGGAACTTGTTTGATCCCTCTCAGTCCACATGCGAAACAAATTTGAGAACCAAAGAAAGTAAGCTCACCCCGCCCGCAGTACTTGTGTCCGAAGTTCGAATTTGGGCAGTAGCAGGTGCCTGCAGATCGCCGCGAGACAGACAGAAAACGGTAAGTAGTCGCATCGAGTTCATCGGAGGAGAAATTTACCGCGACGATTATGGCAGATGCAATCGTTGCACGCAGTGTACCCGCAATCCGGGCACGTCTCGTCTACAGGTCCAATCCGCGCGCCGAAGGCGACCTTGCAGCCGGTGCAATGCGTCGTGCGGGGCTTCCCAGTCGCCAATAGCGACGCGCAATCGAGTTTGTGGGGTTTCCAGTCTGTTGAGATATCCCTTCCGGTTGGGACCACCCGTCGATTATCTGATCGATATGAATTCGTACCTTTCTTTTGACACTCGGCGCCACTGATTTTAATTGGTGAGATGGAACGAGAACTCAGCGAAGACCACCGGAAGACCTACCAATATCGAACAAGTTTACACCCAGAGCATCGCATCTCAGCCTCTTGACCACATCCAGCGTCGCACAAAGCCATGGCCGAGTGGTGATGGTGACAAGAAACGTGCACCGGTGGCTGTTACGGCACCCGTGCTGATAGACAGCTGGCAATACGGTCCGATGCATTACACACTACGGCAACTCCCGAGGACGGTTCAAACAAGAAGTACTTTATTCCCCAGTCAATTCTTGCTTTCGGGTCAACTCGATACGCAATTTTTCATTTTGGGCTAGATAACAAACAGCGCCAGCTCATTACTAGTACTATTTCGACCAAGTCTTCAGCCCTTTTTCGTGTCACGCCAAGCCCTTACTTTTCCAAGTCTTCATTTCTCGGCTATCACGCCAAGATTGCCTTATATGGATGTCCGGCGAACGCCGGCGCGAAAATTTTGGCGTTTTTAGGCCTATTTGGGCCGCAAAATTGGATTGTCACCGTCACCGAGACCAAAAGTATTCAATTCAGAGGGCCGTGTCATGCGTCACCTGAATACTTGGGCGAAATAGTACAGTAAGTAATGGCTGGATGCTGGTAGTCCGGTTGTTACCATCTGGGTCCCTCTGGTGAACTTGAACACGGCCAGGGATGGGTGCCAGATTTTTATAAATGATCCTGAATCAAAGCTAGTCAGCTTTGAAACTGGAAAGGAAGCACCGGTCGTGCATGGTGCACCCATCGTAGTTCATGATCATGTACAGGTATAAGACTCGACGTCGACTCACTGCGTTCGGGCCCCTCGTAGACAAAGGGGTAGGCTACGTGTGTACACAAAGATGTACTCACATGTATGTGACTACACATTATCCGAGGTTGTTCTACCACTGGCCTACCTACGTCTACATGGGTCTACATGGGGTAGACCCATGTAGACCTAGGTAGCCATTGGCGTAGATGCTCCAAATTGTCCAATTTTTACATACAGGCGAGGCTTGGGACGAAAAACGAAAAATGGGATGAGGCGTTGATGAGGCGAGGTTGTTCTACGCCGTTGGTTCTACGGCATGTAGACACATATCGGCAAGCGTAGCCCAATGTGGAATTGATGTGACTACGTGACGTAGAATGCCGAAGACGAACCTCGGAGCAAAACGACATGCTGTAGAAGCATGTCGGCATCCGTAGAATGCCGTAGTTACACGTGGTTAACGTGTGACTACGGGCCCGGAACGCAGTGAGTACTGTGCAGTGCGGTGAGACGGGGTTCAATTCCCCACTGGTGCATTAGGGGAAGTCAGAGTTGACGAAACAGGTCGATTCACGTTCGATTCGAACCTCGATTCTGATCCGATTCTCGTCGAGTTTCGTTCGAGAATCGTGTTTCGCAGAATCGGCCCAGAATCACTGTTCCTCCCCCAGAGGAGGAACACACACAGAATCGAATCAGAATCGACGATTCTGCCAGTGCAGATGATGAATCCAGAATCGTGTTCCATTCCGATTGAGTTTCGACTCAGAAGCATGTGCAGCTTTGACCACCGCGAAAGGGGGGGGGGTGTATTATACTCGCGTGGTCCACAACATGAACAACGAGTCGAGAGGGCTTCGATTCTGCAACGTCTCAGAATCGAAATGTGAATCGATCTTGAATCGTCTCAGAATCCTCAACTCTGACTTCCCCTATTGATGTCGTCCTTTTTTCTCCCTCTCACTCTGTTTGCTTTCCTTTCGGATTCTTAAATGGGCCAACAATATAATGTAGCGGTCAGGGCAGCTATAGTTCGTTCCCTGCTAAGCGGGGCGATCGGTAGTGAACACCAGGGAAGTTGAACAACGCGAAGAACGGGTACAAGAGTTTTGAAAAACGACGCCAACTTGGCAAGGTATGGAACGAGGGTAGAAAGCACCGATTGTGTACGGTGCACCCGCCTAGTCAGTACCACGGTGCTGTACAATTAAGTGAACGGAGAAACGGGTTTCGATTCCCCGCCGGTGCGTGGACGTGACCTTGTCATCTTCCTTTTTTTCCCAGTTTGAATCAATATTTACGAGCACCCCTACTCGAACAGATATTCACCAGCCCACTTAGTCGAACGGTGCCCGAGACATACATATTACAGATCTGCTCCCTCAAATACATGCCATATTGAACGAACCAACTTCTCTGTTGCAAAATGAAGCCAACCTAGTCAGTTTGAAACCAGGCAAAAAAAGCACCGGTCGTGCATGGTGCACCCTCCGTTTCATGTAAAGGTAAGGCATCAAGCAATAACTGGGTGAGGCGGGGTTCGATTCCCCGCCGGTGCATTGAGTTGTCTAAAGATCTTTTCTTTTTCCTTTGTGCCTGCCCGGAGGCCCACCGCTCGAATCGAATGGATAGTGGCGGACACTCGCTCTTACTTCGATACTGCGATGGTAAATGGGTGCGCAAGGAGCCCTTATTGCCCGTGGATCGCACCAGTGAAGTTGAACCAGCTCGAGATTGAGATCTGGAGCAGAGTGTTTTTTTGAAATGAAGCCAATGTAGTAACACTGAAGATAAAGAGAACACCCACCGGTCGTGTGTGGCACATGCGCTGAGCCCTGTTGATGGAAAAAGAAAGTTGAAATTAACCCAGCGATTCTGAATCGGGTTCGATTCCCCACCGGTGCATGTTGCATCCCCAACAGTCAATCTTTTGTTCTTCATTCTTTTCCCAAGCAAGAGGCCAAATAACACAGACCGAAGCAGTCTAGCGCGGTCAAGGATATGGATAGAAAGCACCGGTTGTTTATGGAACACCCACCGATACTATATCGAACTGATCGAACTTCAGGCAGTATTCAGTGGTTGGAAGGGGTTTGATTCCCCACTGGTGCATTCACCATATTTAACTCACCCCCACAACTTGCAGCTCATAACATAATTATTCCAGTCCCTATCCCGTTGATGAACGTCGGTCCTCCATACTGTACTACGACCCGAACATTCACACTCCATTCCACTTCCTCACTCCCTCGGCGATGTACAATCCCGCCGTCGATCGCTAACGATACCGTACTTGGTGTCCTAGATTCTGAACAACTTTTACCGTATAAAATTCAACCAGGCCGACTTGGAGATTTTTTCCCCCTCCCTCACTTGTGCCGAGTTGACCTATATTCCGGCCAGGAGAATTCCGGAGACGCACTAATATTTTTCGGCGGGATGTTGAAGTTGGTCGTATTACGAGTACTTATGTAATCGTCCCTTTTAAAAGTCGTAACCGCAAAAAACATCGAGTGAATTTCCCTGTCCGAGTTTTTTTTCTACACCAAATAGTGGCTGTGCTGAAGCACTTTTTAGACACCGCCACTATTGGAGTCAGAGGCAATGTGGTGATTTAGTGGCAGTGCATCGGGTTTATTCGGGTGGTATTTCGGGACTGAATCCAGAGGCGAGTTCGAATCCCGCTGGGTGCAACTATTATTTAACTCAATCATCTGGTTCAATGTATGCACATATAACCACACTGGCAATGGGGAGACCGAATTAAGATACATCACTTTGCTTCTCAACCTGAGAGGGTTAATTTCCTGTTGATACAAATTTCCCAGGTGAGCTAACATCTTCATTATGATACTGCAACCACAAAATTCAGGTGCTCCCAGCTGCTCGGGCTTGAGCCAATCACAAACGCCTGCCGAAGGGGCGATGATTACAGTTGTCACAAGCCATCAGCAAATGCTGAGGCCTCAGCGAAACTGCTGGAATATAAAACCCGGCCCCTCATCAGTCACAGTGTTGATTACGAAAATGAACTTGAGAAATTTTCCATCTGTTGAAAATTCAATGAATTTCTGCTTCCTTCGTAGTTTTGGGGAGAGATGGAAGTGATCATCACCAAATGACATTGGGTGTAGCATTAGGGTCACTCACAGTTGCCCTTTTTTTGGCCCTTTTTCTTTCCCTTTTTCTTGCTCTTTTGCTTTAGCAAGAGGTGACAGATCTTGTTATCGGACACACTGAGATCAACACGTGATTTGGTGTGATGGGAGAGCTTTGGAGAGCTGAAAGTGGAGGCAAGAGGTTTGGGAGGAAAGAATACATTGCTTCAACTATCCACCACTAAGCAAACAAATCCAGGGCACTGAGATAATTTTTTTTGAGAAGGTGCTGGTTCAGTACCGGATACATGTCTCAATTTGGCAATCAAGGCAGTGGGCTTGCAAAAACTTGGCAAAAACATGTCCCCAACATAAATGAAGTCTTTCTTTGGGATAGAGGTTTGATTCAGGGTGAAACAAGGCCTGGGAACTCAATTTCCTATATCTTTGGCACGTACACGACACATTGCACGGAAAAGGATTGCACGGCCAAATATTTATCAAGCTTTGGCCCCCCTCAAGGCACGTGTTGATCTCAGTGTGTCCGATAACAGGATCTGTCACCTCTTGTGCTTTAGAATAAACTCTCATTGTACTTCACCTTGAACTTTGACAATTCAAGGGAGAACATTCCTATGATCAAGGCAAGTGTTCTGCTATGGTTTTAGTGCAGCCAAGGGAGCTTAAACAGCCAACGACACCAAAAGCTGAAAAAAGGGAAGCAAAAAGGGAACAAAAAAGGGAAACTGGGAGGGGGGTTTCACAGTGGCCCTTTTTTCTTGCCTTTTTCCGTTTCACCGTTGTTCCTTTTTGACCAGTGTAGCACTGAGGGTCGTTTCTTCTTCCCTTTTCAACCCTTTTTGCATCTCTAAGTTGAAAAGGGAAAAAAAATCCAGAGAAAAACCGAAAGAAACCAAAAAGTACGAAAAAAGGGAAAGAAAAAGGGAAGAAAAAAGGGCTACTGTGAACGACCCTAATAATTACATTGATAGGTGTCAAAAAATCAATGAGATTACCAACTTGAACGTGAATACATACAGAGTGTATGTAGGGTAACTGGCAGCCCACTCTGGTTAATCCAAATTTGTGTCTCTCTTGTCATTCTCCACTGTCGAAGTGTTCATTCGAAGTTGTGCAGCAGTACCACAAAATTTTAAGAGTTTGAAATATTTGACGAACATAAGCTATCTATTCTGCCCAATGTTGATTTTCTTTCCTTCCGATTGAACAGTATCCTGATCGGTGGTTTTCATTTATTCCCATCGGGCCATTTCTGAAAGTCCCATTCCGTCCAAACGAAAGGCCCCAAAATGGCCCATCGGATACTTTGGCAGATTGAAGTTGCCATTCTGTGTAATTTGGGTATCAGTACTGGTTCTTCCCATCTGGCATCAATACTTTTGGAACGGGGTGAGAGAATTTGCATGATTGGGAACTGGATGGTGCCTGAATTCAATCCCCCTACAAGTGATAGATTCGTCCTATGCTATACACCTTGACATGGATATATTCTGAAGCCATAGTAGTCATATCTGTCTCAATGAATTGGGGCAGTTGGAAACCTATACAGTCAAAAATAAACAATCAAATATACTCTGGTGTTTACCTTGACTACGTTATGTGGGGGTATTTAGCAAGGTAAATTGAGACTCTATGTACATTCAAAATTGTGTGTTCAGAGTGTCTCCATGAACCACTTTGAATTAAACAAAAAATAAGTACGAGTGCCTGCCGTGCGACGCAGCGGCCATAAACCCCAAGTTGACATCGGATCTGATTTCCACTGTGATCCCGGTGATCGAGAATCTTCTCCTTCCTGCTTGCTTCTTGCCTCCTTCTTCACTGACCGGTTCCTTGCCTGCACATGAATGGACGCAACCGAAGGTTTTTACAACTCACGACGTTGAAATGGCCGCTCACGATATCCCAGGAACAAGGGTCGTTCCCGAAATGTGAATCCTGAACTCCGTCCCTTCACCAAAATGTTTTATACCACATTTTAGGTTATATTTATCGAAACTTACCAGCCTCATGGAGGAGCAAGTTGCAGTACTGCGGCGGATTGACGAGAGGCAAAGCGCAGGAGGTTCATCGGTTCAAAACTCTCACTTGGGCTCTTGGCTAAAATGGCGCAAGATCTCTCGAAGCAGCCGATGCCTGAGGTGCCCGCGACGAGCAGCAGCGCGTGGAACGCACTTTTGAGATCCTCGCTCACGGATACTATTCAGCCTAAAGTTGAACGGTGGCGGAGTGGCCTTGACGCCCTGCTTGTATTTGTGCGTCTGTCTTTTTCTTCTTCGTCTTGTCAGTGATATCGATAACGAGCTCCTCCAGTTGGGTCTTTTCTCAGCGATAGTCACATCTTTCTTTGTAGATTCCCTATCAGCCCTCAAACAAGACCAAATGGTACGAATGAATGAGCAGTTGACGAATTTAACAGAGATCATCGTTGCACTGAGTGGTGCTGCAGACTTGCCCGTATCGCGGCCCGTGACCTTCCATCCAGACTCGACGGATGTGCGACTGAACTCATTATGGTCCCTATCCCTGATCCTCAGCGTAGGCTTTTTTTCGACCCCCAGACCCGGATATCACTGATCATTTTATTATAAAGTTATCCATTGCCGCTCTTGCAGTTGCCTGTCGCGGATTTCTTAATATGGTTGGCTGGTCACGCTTCCCCAAGGCCTCGGAGAAGCTGATCGACATTCGTACTCGCTGGGTATCCTCGGAGCGTTTCCTAGGTCCCACAATCGAGCTTCTCCCGCAGCTTCTCGTTGTCCCTGTCCTACTCTTCATTGCGGGTCTGCTCGACACCCTTTTCTCCAGCGTACTGCAGCTCAAGCCCGCGCCGATGCCAATTCTGTTCACGTCCGGCGTCTCCCTCATGTTCATATCCGGCGTCGCTTGCCTCTTGTGCTACACCCTTACGCGGCGCAGCCTCAATCCGTCTGGTTCACCTTTTCGACGGACGGTGGAAAAGCTTAAACGAGCTTCAAAGGGGGATTCTCAGGATCGGGACTTTCCCGAGACGCTCTCTACGAAGGCGCAATCCGTTTATCATGAGGTCGTGCAGGCGACACACGACGATGACACGCTCAACCAGGCATCCGCAGCGCTGTACAATGTCATCGAGTCTCTCGCCGTCTGGCCGAGATACGGGCATCCTAATACGGGCCTCTTGGATCAGGAACGTGCCACCTTCCTTCATCTCCTTTCGCCCGAGGCCAGTACGCGAAGTAACAGAACGGCCGTCCAGGTTATCGCTCGAATCCATGGGTGTAAGCGCTTTGTCCGTACTTTTTACAAGGGTTACAAGTTTTCTTCCCCAGCAAATCGCATCCGGTACTCACCCCGGGACATGTCCGAACTCGTCCCTGCTCTTCTGCAAGCAGACAGACGAACTCCCCATGCTGGTGCCATAACCGACCGCTGGGACTCGCCCTTCATCGAGGCTATGG